AACAAGCCATCTTCATTAAACAGTGGACGAATTTAACTTTCAACATTTAAAGAAGAGCGAATATTGTAATGAGAAGAAAACATATTTAAAAAAAAAATCAATTTTTAATTCGCGCCACCGATTCAAAAAAATTATTATCTTTTTTTTACGTTTTAAGTAAGTAATAAAATATTTTTCAGTTACTATAAAAATTATACGTCTGGATATTCACTGAAGAAATAAATTATTCAACTCATATTATATTGAAAAAACAATAAATATATTCTAATCTATATACATCCTATTAATATGTTCTTTTCTTATGTTGTTATACTATGTTCTATGTTCTTTACTTACGTTCTCTTGTTGTGGGGGTGTATGGCGGCTTCTGGTCAGGGGAGTCTTGAATTTATAGTGGAAATATTTACATTATATAGTGAATAAACATGTTTAAATATGCATTTTAAGAAAAAACTTGTAAGAAATTTTGAAAAATCTGGGACTAAAAAACAATAAAGTTTTTCTCAGGATAATGACTGCAACACTTTGCCCTGAAGGTTAAGATCTATTAACTCCATCACAGACATCAGGTCTTGATGTGATAGAACTCTGTATGCAAAATTGGAGGTAGAGATTAGAAAAAATGAAATTTCTATAGTGGAACAGGGAAATCCCAGAATTCACCAAAAAATTGTTCAACTCCGTTACAAAAAGGCTGAAAGAAGTGGTGGATAATAATGGATTTCCTACAAGTTATCGAACGATTATAATAATAATTAAATAATAATGAAGAATGAGGTGTATCATTTTGACTAAGTTAAAAATATCCATGTTTACTTTCATTTATCTATACATGAAATATATAATAAAGGAAAGTATTGTGATCGTGAATGTTTTCGAATCTCAGTTTTCAACGGAAATACATTTTTTGAGTTCTCCTGAGTCCAAATAACCAATTCCCGCAAAATGATCTGTGTGTGTTAACAGTCTAGCTCAAAAACAAAAATTTGTACGAAAGTGAAATTGCATATTTAAGGTTTTGATATCCTAGAGATGTTACAGCAACTGTTTCGTCAAAATAGGTTAACCGGAAGTGGTACTTTAGAATAGAATAGAATAGAAAAATAATTTTATTCTGGGACGAAGTCCCTTCAGAATAACAAAAAAGTACAGAAATTAAAATTTTACATCTGGCCAGATAAAAACAAACATAACAAATTAAGATAATGATAGGTCATTAAAGAAAAGAAAAGAAAAAAAATATTGGTTATACATACTATATACAAAATAAAATATAAAAATCTATATAAAAAACTCTTGAAACCATACTAAGATACTTAAAACTATTTACGATGTTAAAACATAAATAAACCCTTTTAGAAAAAATAAAAAATACAGAAAAAATAAATGTATATTCTTCTTAACAGTAAAATCTGTTTCTGTTGAAACAGAAAAAAAAAAAAAAAAAAGAGAAAAAGAAAGTCGAATCTATAATAAGTATTGAGGTCATGAGCTATATGTGAATATGGTCTTATATATAATGTGTAATTTTACATAAAAGATTAGCTGGTGCCTGATTGTTTTTGGGACAGGAATTGGAATAGGAGGGTTTTGAATGTAGATAAGGATGAAGAATGTGGAATTTTGATTGGAAGGGAATTCCAGAAACTAACAGAACGTGCAATAAAGGAGTTTTGGAACGAGGCAGATCTGTGAGAAGGAATGTAAAGGTCGGAAGGTCGAGATCTTGTGGAGAGGGAGTGGACTGAGGACTTGAATTGGAGAAGGTTGTAAGCGTAGGAAGGACGATGATTGTTGAACTTTATATAATGAACTAAACACATTTTTGATTAAATTCGTCATATCAGTATAAAATTAAGCAGTTGTAAATAAAATTTTGTTTTTATTCCGATTGATGTTCTCTAACGGAGCTTAAATGGCTAATTTTCAATATTAGCTTCCCTTAAAGTACCATTAATTTTTTTTATTTTTGAAAAATTGACCATTTCACACTAATCTCTAATACAAAATATAGTTAAATATAAAATATGAAAGAATTTGATAATTAACTAAAAGATAAACAAGATATCGTAACGTAGAATAGTTATAATTGAGGAACCAAAAGAATATGACCGCACCCGAGCTCGCCTGAAAGATTAGAACACACTTCCATACGTAACATGAGCTAAATATGATACGGACTCCGACAATATTATATAAATATACATATGTGGTTCTCATAAATTCTATTGTCGGTATTATTTAATATTTAATTGTATAGACTACAGCGATATAAATATTAAAATTTGTATATATAAGAGTACTTATACAAATAAAAATACCTACAATGAAATATATATAAATAAAGCATCTGTAATTTTTTACTTTCACTTCCCCTTTGTCTGAAAATACATTTTTCCGCTAAGAAGAGAGTGGTAAGTGAAACTTGTATGATGCGCACAAGACTTTTTTCTTGTTATTTTAAAAAAATAATCACAGTTGAATATTTTAATTTTTTTTTGAGTTTCATATATTTAAATTGAGATTATAATTAAATTTGTTGAAGAGTTTCTGGTTTAATTTGTTTACTATAATCATTTATGTATTTAATTTTTCTACAGGTCTACATGATCAATTTCGCTGTGAGCCACTTTATATGCAATACTACTTTTCTAGACCGTTTCAAACAGTTTTTAATTTAAACAGTAACTTATTTAACGTTATAAGTTTTCACTGCGTCCTTATAAACGAACCTAAATGTACCTTATGAATATCTGCGACTTGTCTTCTCAGAGAAATATTACATACGTTAGAAATATATACGTACATAATTATTTTTATTAAAAATTAATTTAGAACAATATAAAAGTTTAATTAAATATAAAAAGATCCTTAATCAAATACTGGAGCCATTGAGACTTGTCCGGAGAATATTGGAGAACAATTCCTCTCTCTGCACTCTTTGATGTTATTTCTTCAAAATCTTTTTTTCTACCCCATCCCACTCAGAGCAGAGAGACGGACTTTTTTTTTCTTGTTGTAACTTTGCAATGCTATTAATATAAATTCTTTTGAAGCAATTGGCGAGCGTTTACACGACTTCTTTGGTACGACACTTCATGAGAAGCCTTTATTAAAAATAAAAAAATTGTTTAACTTCTTTAGATATTAAGCTTTCCTTTAAAGCTTCTGGATATCAGTTGGACGATCAGAGCAAAATGAAATTAATAAAACAAATTATAAATTAAATATATTTTTCAGTTTAAGTGAAATTTGAATCAAGGTATTTAGATGACTAAATTATAAATAAAGAAGTTTATTTTATACACACACACACACACATCTATATATATATATATATATATATATATATATATATATATATATATATATATTATGTGGATATATGAGGAACACGCGTGGGTTAAAGAACTAAATAAATAAAATTATTTCTAATTGTTTTTTTGTTTTTTTCAAAATTCATTCGTCAATTATATTCACAAAATTCGACGTTGAGTAAAAACTAAGAGTTTGATTTATTTTTTTATTGGAAACTTCTTTAGGTGCTTTTTAAACATTTTTGTGAAGAGTGAATTGGATTGACCCGTCAGATCTCCTATGTTTAACGATCGAGTAAAGTCGGCCGGATTCGATCAATTGAAGTGTTTTTGCATATGGATTAAAATACCTCAAAAACTAATAATTGGAACTGTATATTGTTAGGGAGGGAAATGTTCATCATTTCATTCTCTTTGCGATGGGTTATTATTCAAAGTTTTATCTTAACGCGAAGCCGTTTTAGAGAGACGAATAGGACCTGCATACTATAAGCCAGGAAATCGTTCAGCATTTCATCCTCTCTATAGTGGGCTATTATTTCATATTACTTGTTGATATTTTCATATTTATCATATGGCATAGAGAACAAACCTTAATTCTATTTTTTTCTGAGGCCAGATCTATTTGATGTGACTTTGAAGAAATTATTTGATTTAAAAAAAATATATATAAGAAATAATTATAATTAAAATAAATAAAACAATATAATGGTATATAGTTTATGCTATAAACAATCAGGTATGGAGTTAACCTCTTGTCAGGTTAAACTCTGGAGTGTAAATTGTTGTCACACTTGCCTAGGATGATGTTAATCTGTCCCAGCTAAGTGTGAGGTGATGTATAACTGTCTGTCGTGGTTTGACCGCTGTGGTTCATTGGACCTTACAAGGAGTTTTGGGAGACATCTGAATCCAAATCACCATCCACGAAAAAAAAATTCAAAAGAGAAAAAAAAATTTTGGAACAGCATTATTTAGGCCCGTAAGTAAAAAAAAAAGGGAAGAAAAAGATTATACCTAAATATTTTTTTAGAGGACGTTATGGCTGAGTACGTAAGGGTATGGGTCCAAGAGAGTTCGGTTCTCATCTTGTTAGTTCGATTCCCACTTGAGTCGGTTAGTTTTCATTTCTCTGCGACCGCGGGAAGTAAATGTGACAATACCTCTCTGGTAAGTGAGTGGTTGTAACATCAAATTAGTTCTTGCGGAGAAAAAGGACCAGAAGACTAACATTCCGGACAAGTCATCAGTAGCAACTATCAGCACCATTATTAATAATATTCTTTGGGTTAATTAGTTAAATATTTATTTATTATGCAATATATTTTTTTTCTCTATCAAAAAAATATATTTGCGCCTATCAACTTATTGTTGACAATCAGCAAATACGATAGCGGTATATGATATAATGACATGACAGGCATGGGAAAGGAAAGTATTCAGCAGTACCTCTTCCCTAACTTTATATTTTAAATACAACTTTCTTCTTGAATGTTTCTCCGCAGTCTTGGTGCAAAGGTTAGCAATAAGATGTATCAAAAATATTCTATTTTACATCTATTGATACTAACTAATGATAAGTTATACTAAATACTACTACCTAGGTCTTAAGTATACTATTAAAATGTTTCATAAACAGCTTCAATAATAATAAATTTTCAAATAAGTTCAATTTTTTATCACTTACTTGTATTGGCAAGTCATCCCGAATCCGAAGTCCCTCCAAAAGCCCGTGTCCCTCGAAATGAGTAGCTGATCAGTCTCAGACGGGACCTTCTTCCCCTGCAATGTGTAGACGACGCGAGGATTGTAGAGCGAGAAGACGACTGGGTAGTAAACCGATTTCCCAGGACTGGAGTTCCACCGGCAGCGATCGAGGAACTTGGCACTGAACACGATATCGACATCGCAGAAGAAGAGGAGCACGTCGTCGCCGACCATCCCCGGCACTTCCCATGCCCGCTCGGCCCCCACCCGCAGACCTTTCGAACGGGAGAAGGTCTCGTTGAGGGCCAGCAGCCGCAAGAGGGCAGAGTTTCGACCCGCTGACTTGGACATGATGAGTCTGGCTTCCGCCAGTCCTTCCTCGCCGAAATATACAACGGTCAGCAGTACCCGTCTGTCGTGCTTCAAGCCGATCTTGACGAATTTACCCATGAAGCTTTGGAATGTCTTGACCCTTCCCGACAAGGGAAGAATGACGTGAACTATTTCCTTCTTCGTGCCTACAGGTGTCGATGAGATGTGAACTATGGGTGCGAACGACCGTAGCGCGGTCACTTTGAGAAGGCCACCCTTGGTCTTGTTTCGGAAGTAGAGCTCGTATTCTGTGCCCGTCGTTGGTTCGGTCCGATAAATTCCTTCGACGAAGTCGTCCGCGGTGTAGTGGGGCTTGCTCTGATTCTTGTTGAGGGTGTCCACCGAGGATTGGATCACTTCAAACAGGTCCTTCCGGCGGAAACCGATCGGCTTTTCCACTACCCTCTTCCCCAACCCGATTTCCGTTGGGTAGATCCTGTTGAGGGTGAAGTGGTTGAAGGAGATCACCTCGTACTCGTTGTTGAGAGCGACGCCATGGTGTAGCTCTGCGCGCTCTACCAGCCGCTTCACGTGAATGGAGCACTCGCTGGCATTCCATTCCACTCCAGACACAATATCTGTAACAAAAAAAAAAGTTTGTATTATATTTTGATGAGACTAAACGTTAGGTTGTTATTGGAAAAATTCCAAATCCTACAGCTTTATGTCTTCAAAAGACAGGCCAAGAAAAACCCGTCAATGTTTCGCTAATTCACTTATCATTGAACTCCATGAAATTTCATGGAGTGATGTTGGATTAGCTGTTTCCGTCATGAAGATACCATTTTTATTTTTATTTATTGAAATTTACAACTGTAATAAATAAACACAACTAGTAAATATGAGTAAATTAAGAATAATGACATGAACAAACTTGTGGAAACATTACCCAATGATTACACAGCCCAAAATGGTTCTAAGTAAGAAGATCACGAGGCCAACGTCTTTTCAGACGTCTAGGAGGATTATACAAGGCTGTAAACAAGTGGATTCGGATGGGACTAGAATTTATCATGAAAGGATAGACATCTGGCTCAGGGTTAATCAACGACATATGAAACAGTAAGGTCGTTATTAATGGTTTTATTTGTAACAAAATATAGAGCGTTAATGATTTTACGAAGGATTTTAAATTGTAAGGATTAGATACTATAGGAATTCGTTGAGTTGATGGAGCCCCAAAGTTAAAATCCGTTTGTCTATATAGGTCGTATTATATCATATAAATGAGTCATTTACAATTAATTCAAAGTCCTGAGCGCTTGTCTAGTAAGTATTGGGGCAACCGGAAACGTCGAGCAGTATCGTGTAGTTGCAGTCTTGTATGCAGATTCCAAAGACGTTTGTCCAATTGGAATCCTAGGTAACGGATTTGTTCAACAGGGACAAGTGGAGTATCATTAAAGGATATTGTAGGACAAGAAGTCGTAGGTTTACGACGGAGGGTAAAGGTCATTTGATGGGATTTATTGGAATTTATTCTCCAGTTTTGACACCACTCTTAACTGATGATACCTGAATAGGCGAAACATTGACGCGTTTTTCTTTCCCTGCATTTTGGAGAAATAGGGCTAGTATGGTTTGGGAATTTTTCCTAATAATAACCTAACATTCATGTTCCGTCTTGGTTATTTTTTTAATAATTTATAATTAAACTAAGCAATAGTGTTAAATTCGAGTGTACCAGGCAATCTTGGACCGGTTGAACCAACTACTTAAATTAAAATGATATGCTTGCTAATCAGTGTATTATAAGAAATCTCTATTTCTATAAACGTTATTGTGAATATATGTATATATCTTTGTAAAATATAAATTTGATACGCCTATCTCTTCTTACACGAGGTTAATATTTCGATTTATTTTTCTTGATAACATCCGAATATAAATTCTTTAAGGGCTTATAAATGTTTAGAATAATAAGTTGTATAAATAAAGAAATAAGTTCTAGTGCCTGCTTAAATAAAGTTGGTAAGATAAGCCGGCGCTGTTGGATAGGCTAAACCATAAGGACTGATATGTCTTCACGTTATGTCGGAATAGGAACTGAAGGGGCATCGTTCACTCAGATCTTTTTAGCATAAATTTGGATATTTGTTTGTCTATTTTATAAATTTTTTACTATAATATTCGCATCCGTTTTTATAAAACTGTGAATAAAAATAAGTGAATATGTTCTAGCATTTTTTCCTTTACTCTTCATCGTTAAACTTGAATATTTTTTTTTTTAAATTCACCTTTTTAATTTTTATACAATAATATCTTTGTTACAGTAAACTATGTCTAATAATCTTAAACAGATTAATGTAAAAATAGGAATAGGTTAAAATGTTTAAGGTATGAAAAAAAATAATTAAAAAAAAAGTATATTGAACTAATATATATTATACATTATTTTAAAAGAATATTCAAGGATAGCTGAGTTCATCCAATTTTTTTTTACTTTTTAAGAAATAATACATTTCGCTGTACTTCAGAGCACTGACTATTAGATCTATATGGAGTACATTCATATCATATGTCAGTCTCGACAAAAAAACTAAAGAGTACTAACAAAAGAAATGTAACTTGAAATAAAATTAAATAACATCAAAATTTATATATATATGAAAAAATTACATTCGTACTTAATTAAAATAATCATAAACATAATATAACATATTCCGAAAGTCCTACCAACACATTTGCTGTAATATTTTATTTATGCTTGTAAGAAGAATGCTAATTTTGTATTTATTGATCTTTCTTTATATTTTTTGTTTCTCTAAATTCGATCATTTAAATTTTTTTTACAGTGCTTAAGAAATTATGAATTAAAGCAACACTAATTTTTAACAAGTAATTATTGTAATTTTTTAATCATTGATTTATTTTTTTCCTAAAGAGTAATTGAAACGATACGTAAAACAAATATATATACATACATTTTTTTTCAATTTTTATATTTTGTTTCTATTAAATTTTTACATTCTATACAGGTGTGAATCTGTTTTATATATTTCAATTTTATTTAGCTTTTCACTATTTTTTTATTTATTATTATTTTAACGCCACATAATCTCGTATCTTTATTTTTTGTGTTATTTTTTTCTCACCACTCACTCCTTTTAAGTGTGAATAATAAAAGGTTTATTTATTTTTTTTTTTGGTAAAAACTGAGGGGTAACTGTCCCAGAATGGTAAATTGTTTTATATTTAGGTTTGTTTTGCGATGTATTATCGCTTATTTATATGAACCAGCCAGGCAGTATTACCCGGTCTTAGATATTAAGACATCAAAATACGGCCGAAGCGAGTCTGGAGATAGCTCTTAACACTAGATCCATGTAGTGGAAGTCTACCCCCACCAGTCCAGACTCACCACATCTCACCTAGCGCCATTTTCATATTATGTATGTTAAACTCTTTTTCTTTTATCTCTATTTTAGTTATCATTTGTATGTATATATTGTGTGAATGTTTAATGTAGCCCTAATATTAATGCCCTCCAATGCGGCAGAATGTATTAATTTCCAAATAAAAAAAAAAAATTAAATTTATATAAGTTAATGCTGTATATATATTTATTTATTTTATTCTGAAATTTATTCATTCTGATATATTGTTTGTAAGTACCTAATTATAAAGGCAAATAGTAGAATGGAAGAAAGTGAACATTTTAGAAAATTGTTTAAATATTTGCCTTATTACTATTGTTCTTCCCAATAGCAAACTCACTAACATGTGGAAAAATAATAAAATAAAAATAATAAAATGTTCTTAATGCTAGAGATATAAATAGACACTTTATTGAAGCTAAAAACCAGTAATCAAAAATTTGCAAGGAAGAGATACCGTAGATGCCGATTTTGCGAGATTTTGTCCAAGTTAATGTTGGGTCTCGAAAACAGGGTTAAGGGCTTAGTGTTCACGGTAGATCAATCCCGTTTTAAATATTCAAGCTAACCGTGGCGGGGGCATGAACCCGCACTAATTTGGGCTTTAAAGCCAGCCAGCTCGCCCGGTCGATCATCTTACTCCTCATACTCAAGTATATTAAGTCGTCTAAAAGCCGCTTACGGATAATTATACCTTATAACGGATAATTATTATTATATAAGAATTTTTTTCTCTATCGCTCGTCTCTCTGCACTTGCCCCGTCTGTAAAAATGACTTGGCAGATGTAGCCTAAGCCACGGCTCTCTTTTTAAAATTATTAACCCATTAACAAAAAAAAATACATTTCTGAAAATTAAACATTAAACTTTACAAAAATACAAAGTTTTGTTATCCTGGGTTGAAAGTTAAAAATACAAAAAAAAAAAAAAAAACCGAAGTTTCATGGTCGAACTTTTATTTAGTGCGAACATGAAGGTTTTAAAAAAACAAAAAATATACAGGGTATCCCATAAGCACAGAGAAATATATTTTTTTTCCTTTAACTATTTATTCGCACCTGTCATGTGCGACTTCCTGCCCTACAGTATCCTTTAATAATACCCCGCTTATCCCAGTTGAACAAATCCGGTACCTTGGACAAACGTCTAACTTGGAATCCTCACACCAGATTTAAACGACAAGAAACCGCTCGACGTTTCCGACTACTCCAGCACTTACTAGACAAACGCTCTACGCTATCAGTAAATTATAGAAGACTCATATACACATGACTACAATAAGACCTATTTGGACTTAGGGAGTTGAGATTTGGGGCTCCACAAAGCCATCGAATTCCTCACGTATCCAATCCTTACAATCGAAAATCCTTCGTAAAATCTTCAACGCTCCTTACTTTGTCACTAATAGAATCATCCATAATGGCCTTAACGTTCCATATGTTTCCGATTTGGCCCAATCCAGATACCTATCCTTCCATAATAAACTTCAGAACCATCCGAACCCTCTCGTTTCTAACCTTTTCGGTATCTGATAACACTCCGAGGCGTTTGAAAAGAAGATGACCTCGAGATCTTCTATTGTAAATACATTTTTTTTGTGTGTGTTCTACCAGTGGATTGTTTTAAAACTACCAGTGTTTTCATGTTTTAATTTTCTGTTGTCACATTTACTGAATGTATTTTTCTTAATGCAGTTGTAAATATCATAAATAAATCTATATATATAAAAATGAATGTATGTCTGTATGTCCTCAGTGCATTACAAAACCATTCAACGGATCGCCATGAAACTTTGGGAAGTTTTTCCGTACACTCCTGGGAAGATTTCTGGCATAGTACTTCTGTCTTACGATAATTTTATATATGTAAAAAAATAAAAATGTAAATGTTTTTCTGTTCAAAGCCGCAAAAAATGTGTCGCTATAAACTGTAGTGCTAAAACGGCTTTACCAATTTTAACGAAACTTGGCTAAAGTCTTCCCCTTGAAACCCTTTTAATTTATGTGTATAACATACTTTCCCGAAAACAAGCTGAAACATTTTACGATGAATTCAATATTTTATTTGACGATAACTAAAAAAGTACACAATTTTTGACTGATAATACCCACATTTATTTGAAAGATTCCTGATTTGCCGTCATAATAAAAAAAATGTCATCGAAATAGATAAGCATTATCTCCGAAATAAAACTATTTCTAGCGGCCGTAGGAGTAAAGTGGATTAAATTATTTTTTTAAGGAAAAACAAAGTTCACATTTGTATTTCGCACCTCGATAAACCCTCAATTACTGCTTTCTCTTCAGAAAAGGCCGTTTCCTTTTGCTTCCTCGCTACCGAACGTCGGCAAGCATTTTTTTTTTGTTTTTGTTTTATTGATTAATCGAAAATTTTATAGTTACTACAGTAATTGAAATTATCATTTGAAGAATTTATATGATTCTTCTTATGTAGGTCAATACTATTATACGTTTTTTAAATTAATTTTTTAATTTAGTTTTATAAGTTCAACTCAGACTGTTTCTGATGATTACGAATGACGGCGTATTTACTCAGATGATTATGAATGTTCAATTTGAATCATGAAAAAAAAAAAACAATTAGAATTAGTTTCAATCGAAGCCATTTTACAGGCAAATTTGTTTCCCAACTTTTTAAAAATGATAGATGTCCTTTGCTACTAATCTACTCATATGCGCTTTCCATTTTCTTTCTTTTTCATTTTGTCAGGCTAAGCCACAGCAGCGCGTGGCCTGGTAAAGCTAGTAAATATATAAAACAAAATTCTACTTTTCTGCTGGAAGTTGGGAAATTATTAATATGATTTTTTTTTTTTTTTTGATCTTGGTGTCTAATATTATTTTTAAAAATATTTTCCTCTGTTTACAAGACACCCTGTATATAAGCTGGATTTTCTCATGCTCTTAGGTGGACATTTAAAGAAAATGTTCGAAAATTACAAACCAAATCGTTTTTCCTAAAAAAAAAAAAAAAAAAAAAAAAAAAATTTAGGACGAAAACCAGTCATGTCCATACTTACCCCATGGTTTCACTTACCCCACTTTACCTAACAGATTAAAGGAGATAGTATTGATCCCTGAGGTACTCCTGCCAATACTGATATATTATTGATATTAAGAAATTAAATTATTAATCTTCAATTGGAATCGTATTAGACAGTTTTAACCTTATAGACAAATGACTAAAAATATTTTATTGATTGAACAAATGTGATTAAATAGAGAAAAACGGGCCTGTTGTAGTAAGGAATGGGAAAAATCCAATCTTCACTCAGCCAAAGCGAAGTGGTTAGTGGTTAATGGCCCGAAAACTGTGGTCACTTAACTAATTTAAAGATCTATTCTCTCCCCCCCCCCCACTCTCCACTCCAAGTATATTGTAACAACTTTTAGTTTATAATTTATCTTTATCTGTTCTATGAAATTAATTTATAAAAAAAAGCATACACATAAAAACCTTAAACAGTATTTTTATTTTATTTATTAAATTTACAACTGTATTAAAACAAAATTAAAACCAGTATGGTAAACTCCAATAAATCCTACCAAATTACCTTTACCCTTCGTCGTAAACCAACGACTTCCTGTCCTACAGTTTCCTTTAACAATACGCCACTTATCCCTGTTGAGCAAATCCGATACCTAGGACTCCACCTGGACAAACGACTAACTTGGGATCCTCATACTAGACTGAAATGACAAGAAACCGCTCGACGTTTCCGATTAATTCAGCACTTACTAGACAAACGCTCTAAACTTCCCATTAATTACAAAAGACTTATATACTTGACTATAATAAGACCTATTTGGACTTACGGAGTTGAGCTATGGGGCTCCACTAAACCATCGAATTCCTCTCGCATCCAATCCTTACAATCCAAAATCCTTCGTAAAATCCTCAATGCTCCTTACTTTGTCACTAATAAAATTATCCGTAAAGATCTTAATGTTCCTTATGTTTCAGATCTGGCCCAATCCAGATACCTATCCTTCCATAATAAACTTCAGAATCATCCCAACCCTCTCGTTTCTAACCTTGCTTCCTCTTCAATTACTGATAACCCTCCGAGGCGTCTGAAAAGAAGATGGCCCCGTGATCTCCTAATGTAGTCATATCATTAGAGTGCTACCATTGGGTAGTTACTCAGCAAGTGTATTCATGTCATTATATCAATTATGTCCAAATTTACTTGATGTATTTATGTAATACAGTTGTAAATGTCATAAAGAAATAAAAAAAAAAAAAAAAAACAGTATGGTAAGCGCACCAATGATAGACATTTTTATAGTTATAAGCTTCTCCATTTGACGTTTAGAATCTCTAGGGTTTCCGTTTTCTATTTCACACTCTAAAATTTAAAAAAAAATATTCAGTTACGCAGGTAAGATCTTCATTAAAAAAACACCTTTCCGCACAAGTGATGGATGCTCCGAAATTCAATTGTTCTAGTAATGGAGGTCGTTACCAGTATTATCACATATCTCAAAAAAATTCTAAATATTTGTTTAACTATAAAGATAAGATAAGATAAATGTTTACTCTTAGCGAAACTGTTAGTAGGAAGGTATGAACGCACTGATTTCAAGAGCACTATAGAAACAACAATGATATATTCCGTGGTATAGATTCCTTATATCAATCCTTTTTATCCTTATTATTAACATCCGTCTAAAACTTCGTAAATAGCTTCATCTCATCGTAATCTACTTTATTTACGAAAAGTCTCGTAATCGGGGCATTTTGAATCTAGATTAAACTTTGCCTATTTAATCAGGTACTGAAAACTCGTAAATATTTATTCTCTTTCCACTTGAATCGTAAGATCATTTGATCACAAATCGGGAAAAAATGTGGCATATTAAAATATTGTATAGTTTGACATTACCTATTCTCCCAACATTTCAAGATAACGAGGTTATATAGGCCAAACGGTCCAATATTTCTAGGCCACCTTTTTTTCTCTGTTTTGTGATCAAATTATCTTAAGATCCAAGTGGAAAGCAAATCAGTATTTACGAGTTCTTAATACCTAATTAAATAAACAAAGTTTTTCGATCTTTAGACTGAAAACTCTCTAATTCTTAGAGTTTTCGTAAATAAAATATTTGTAGGTCACGAGGAGACGAAGCTATTCACGATGTTTCAAGCGGATAATTCGATAAGAAAAAAGGTCTGTACCACGGACTAATAAGCATTTTAAAATTTTCTTTTGGGAACTTTATTCATAAAGTTGTCAATAGAGAGAACTGTTCTTCAATCTAGATACAACTAGAAACTTTAAATCGACAAGGAAGCTTATTATTTTTTACCTTTCCATCACTGGACTCCCTGTTCATAACTGGTGCGTTCGTCCAAATATGAACAAAGAAAGATAATGACATGAAGATTTGTGAAAATGATACCTATAAATTACACTCTACTAAAGCAAAAATCAATTTCTCAATACTTCAAATTAAAAAAAATATTTATGTTCTAAAAATGTAATAAGGCAGAACGTTGACTATTAAAAAATAAAACCAAGTATTTACGCTACTAATTTCAAATCATCAATAATAAGACTTATAGAACCCGAAAGTTTGATGTCTATTACACGAATCCTTGTCTACATACTTCTATGCACCGGGC